CGGAAATTTTACATTATCTGCTCAGTATTGAACCTCATGACATTTGCTTTATCATCAGCACTTAGATTACTAATAATACATACATACATACATATTTAGTATGTATTTTTGCATTAGACACAGCAAATATTTATTAAATGAATATTTAAATATTTTTTATTACTTTCATAAATCGATCTCATGCATATGTGTATACATATGTATTTTAACAGTAAAATTTGCACTAATACGTATGTATGTATGTACATATATATGTAATCTTTAGTGTTTATTTGCATTATTTTTCAAGAATAGAAAAATTAAATAGGGTATAATACTTTATTTATATTTAGTATTGAAAGAATATTTTTCAATAATACTTTGGTATAATTAAGCAAAAATTTTTTAATTAATGTCCGGTTTGCATTCGAAGTGTTGTTGTATCAGGAAGGTTGTTTGGAGGTTGAAGTGGTTCATGAACCTCTTCTATATAAAAAAAAAATAGAGAGCTATAAATGTGCAAATACATATTAATAATTTTCTAAAGCGATTAGTGTTTAGAAGCATACTTTGTATTAGTTTGAAACTTAGATGTATGCAGGCATGTAGTTCGAGTTCTAGTTTAGTAATTAATTCTAGGCTGGGTAGAAGAAATACTAATACAGTCACGTGGCTTATTTGCTTTGAACTCATAAGAGATATTTTGTTATGAAGACTGTCGTTTTTAATAACTGGTTTTCCCTTAACCGCTTCACTGAACGTATGCAATTTCTGCGTGTTACATTAGGTGCTGCATTTGGCTCAGCTAAAAAACGGGGAAAATTTCCACATTTGTCTTTTTTTACCTCTCCCAAAAATATGTTGAAAACTAAAACCTTCTTAAACATCTTCCATTTGATACCCATAATACACATGCCAACATGCCCTTAATTCAAGTGGAATTTGATTATTATTTTTTTAACAGTTGGCAATCCTCCTACATGTAGTTTAGAAATTACACCTATTCCGATTGGTACCCATATTACAGTAATTCAGTTAAGTCATGTGTTAAATAACTTTAATTGAATTTAGTTTTTAAACAGGTGGAAACCCTCTTCAAACACCATAAAAATATTCTAAATTTTCAAACTTAGGCAGCTATATTGTGATACACATTTCCGTTATGCACCTAATTCCCACATGTTGTTTAGGAACAAACCCCTTTCAAAACCATTTCGATTGATAAAATTCGGGCTTGTTTATTGAATATTGAAGGATATAGACCACCGACAAAGGTAAGCCCAGCACGTGCATATATGGTAAAATTTAGTGATGTGGACAACATTGTCACGACGCGAACGACGCAGATACACCCGCTCCGCCCCAATTCCTGAGGAATGCTCATCATCACACATGGGGCAGCTCAGCCACGAATGAACGCGGTGATTCGATATTTGAATTTATTATGTGCAATAACTTACAGGTTAGCAATATAGATGACACACTTTATATAGACTTGCAACGCCGATTTACATATGCAGTCAGAGATGCTTAGCGCTCCTCATAGAGAAACTTCTTCGGAGGCCATCGGACTTCGTAAGTTACTATCAACTTGTCTTAAGAATATTAGTCACCTTATCACGAAGGATGGAGATTGAAGAGCTAGCAGCGAAGAACCATTATAGCTTCAAATAGAAACGCACTTTCCGGATTTCCTCAACTCGCAGGCAACAACGATGGCCTCCCAGCGAACACTATTACCGAAGAGAACATAACACGTGCTATTAGCAGCTTGCATCCGTACAAGTCTTCGGAACAAGACGGAATCATTCCCGCTGACCTTACCCGCCTTTGAGGCAGCGTTACGAATTAATTATATACCCCACAAATGGGAGGAGGTAAAAGTAGTTTTACTTTCTAAAGCAGGAAACACTGCACATACGAGACCAAAAGACTTGGGCCGTTTAGACTGAAATCTTTCTTGCTCAAATCTTTAGAGCGACTAGGCATATTGGAGACATAGTTCGCAGCAAATTTTCGGCAGTCCAGCATACCTGCAATAAGCAAGATCAGTTGAAACAGCACTCCACTCTCTAGTCCACCCAATTGAGAGAGCACTATATTACAAAGAATATACCCTCGCTGCCTTCCTGGACATCAAGGGTGCTTTCAACAAAGTATAGTAATAATTCTTGGAGTAAGCATCTCATTAGTCTCGTTTATCGAACGAAAGCCAGTTGGCGGACTACGGACCTCGGAACTCCGCTTTCATTACAGCAGTTACGACACTCCTACCCACAAAGGAAGAGTGGAAAAGAGACGCTCCACGGAGTGGCGAGTCTATCCATTTATACACAGATGGCTCAAAGTTCGAGGGAAGGGTTGGTGTGGGTGTATACTCCGAACACTTGGGAATATCCTGGGAACTAATGACAATCAACAGGGCCACAAAACTGGTAAAGTGTTATATATATACTAAGCTGATATCTACATCTCCGCTGATAGACAGGCGGCAATCAAATCCCTTACGAAGCAGTCGACGTCTTCCATGGTAGACACCGATCGCTAATCCATTTTGAATTCTATGACAAACTTAGATTTGGTAACCGAAGATGCTATTTCCAATAGCGCCAGAATATATTGGCGCTTTTTTTGTGTTCCTGACGCTATTGCCTAAGGCTTAACATGCCTGGACATGAATGATGATTGTATTATTTTCCAATCGTAGAGATAGAGTAACACCGAGCATTTCAGAGTAGACTTCGGTTTCTACACCGTAATCCATATTGGATCTTTCGGCATATAGAAATATAGCTTCTCCATTACCCACTCGGTATCTTTTTTCATTTTCTTCTGAACGGGAATAGCACTTGAACGCCACAGTTGAAGTCTACATAGATTGTCTATCTTCCTAGTTCAGTTACAATAATGAGCTACCCAGTGACTGACTGGGGTAGGTCGATTGCAATACATGACTGTTTTGAGTAGATGCTACCTTTAGACGGACAGCATGGGAACTGTAACGGACTTAGAGCTTAGTGCTCAAACCACCTCCCGACGCAATACTTCACGGCAGTACCGAGGTGAACGGGAGGTTTCGGTTGGTTTAAAGTTCCACACCGACGGTGTTTGGCTTTCGATGCTCCCTCTTCGTAAGAAAATATGCTTTTTATCGAACTCCGAAGAAACTTTTTAAGGCACAAGTTCACTCGGAGGTTTGTCATTGTCTGCCGAGGGGCGACCGCTATTTGAAAACAACTTTTTGATGTTGCTGGCACCAACAATTGAACCATGGGCCTTCCGAGTGGAAGTAGGTACTTTTAAGCACTCAGCTACGGCAGCAAGAGCACTGTTCAAATCCGAAATAAGTCAGACAAAATGCAATAAAGTATTAAAAAAAATTAAAATAAGAGCAAACTTGAATTTTTCACAGATTTTTATTTGTTTTAATTTTGATATAGAAAAAAAAACTTTGTAATTTTTTCGCTTTGCTTTTTTCTAAATAAATCATTACTGCCGTTAATAGTTTTATTGTAATTTTTGGATACGATTTCGTGCCACCATAAGCATTTTCTCTGTATGAAAACTTTACGGTTCATCCGGGTTTTTCTTGATTTCAAAATCGCAAAGCGGTTTTTTTCAAATTGCAATTTTTCGAATAACTCGATAACCGGTTTTGAAAAAAGGCGAATAATTGAACACTCTAGTGTATATGTTACCGGCCAAACCCGGTCTTAGGACAGACTCGTTTTGCCTAGGCTAAACTAGATAAGGGCCACAGTATTTTTGCGCAGAACACCTTTCCGTGTAGGAGGCCTTCGGCCGCAGTCCAAAATATTGTTACGTCCAACTTGTTTCCATATTGGACGGATATATTGGATCTGGGTAGAACTCGTTTAGCCTAGGAAAAACTAGTTTGTCCTAAGAACGGGTTTGGCCGGTAACATATATAATACTCAAATATGGTACTCGGCTCCTGGAAGTGTGCAGATTTTTTGTAGACTCCTTAACCCTTTGCTGTTTCTTCTATTTTATTTTGTTTGCCTTTCTTAGGTGCCGTTCAGAATATAGTAACCGGAGGAGTTAACTTTTATATTTTGTGGCCTTATATATGTATATACATATATTAGGGTGATTCAAAATAACTAACGTAACGAATTTATGGCCTTAAACCATTTACTGAGAAGAGAATTCTTCTATTTGGAAAAATTTGCATTCCAATTTTAAAAGGCCACGGGGCATTTGAAATCTTTCACGTGAATAACATGTAAAAAAATTGGTTTTCATTATGGGTCTTCACACCGAGCTCGGTACTCGGTAACTCGGTGTTCGGTAATTTTTTCCCATGTATTTTTTCTCATGTATTTTGTTTGTGTAACACTATTTTGCACAAATAAAATACATAGGAAAAATTACCGTACACCGAGCTACCGAGTACCCAGCTTCAGTGTGAAGACCCATATTAAAAATGTTTTAACTATTTGTGAAAAAAATTTCTTCTTGACATATTTTGCTAGCACATTAAACTCTAAACTACATATAATACAAAAATTCTAAGACTGCGTAAGAACACATAAATCAAGCTTTCATAAAAATTGTTCAAAAATATCTACTATTAACAATGTTGGTAACTAATGTTCCGATTTTTCCTGTAGAGAAATTTGAATAATTTGTTTAGAACCACAATGCAATTCAGCTAATGAAAAAGCATGAAAAAAATAGTTTTCAAGTTTTCATATATTTACATTTTTTCCACCGAGGAATCATAGTCCGGGGTATATGCAATTTTTTTTTTTTAAGTTGAAGTTTATACATTAGTATCTTCATTGCTTTCTCATTTCGGGCATTAAAATTTAGGTACCCTATTGTTATCAAGTATTGTTAAAAGTTCTACCGACCCGCAATTTTTTAACAGCCAAACGGCGTTATTATTTACTGCTTCTGCGCCTACTCCCTCTATTTCCTAGATTTAAACCTTAAAATTTCCAAACTTTTCTACGCCCCATTTTTTTTTTTTTATTTCTAACTATTCTAGTACTTACTGCTGCGATTGCCCTCCTTCACGCGATATGTGAGATCGTGGAATGCCAAGTCGACTGCTGGACGTTTGGGCAAGTGTTGCAATGTTTTCGGCTGTGCCGGCACAATTTGCGTCTTCAGGATGCTCACGGGAGCAACAGTGGCCGCAACATTGCCGCCGCTGCTTTGTGGACTGCTGCCGCCAGCTGGCACAATGGCCACTCCACCACCAGCGCCGCCATGCCTATTGTCGTGGAGTAGATTTTTAGTGACACTATCTTGTTCAACCATTTTGTTTGTGTTTTTGTTATTTTTTTTTCTCTTCAAATTCAGCCTCGTTCAATGCAAAGTTTCATAGAATTCTTTTCATAAAAATAAGCAAAAAATATCAAACGAAGTTAAGAAAAGCATTAAAAGCCGTAAGAATTTTTTTGTTTTGGAAAATAGGCACATACAGGTTCTAGTTTCTAGCACTTTGCGTTGTACATAGCCACATAGTACATTTTCATATAACGCACATACACACACACAAACACACACGCGCGCACGTCGTACAAGTTGCTTTACAAGTTTTTAATCTTCTTACAAGGCGCTTGTTTGCTTGTTAGGAGTGATCAATTTTTATTTACGTCTTATTTTTTCATTAATCACTTGATATTTTCGTTAATATAAATGAAATTAAATATATAAGGCATTTCTCAACTGCGATTTTTATTCAACAATTTTCACTTTTCATGTCATTTATTTCACTCAAGTTCGCGTTTCACTCGATTTCCCCTACAGCTTGTCGAGTCTGTTTCAGTGAACACCCAAGTATGTAAAAAAAAAGACATTAACACTTTGCCCGGCAGTTCCACACCACTTAACGCCTTTGCCTGCGCTCTCAAACTGGCAGTCGCAGCAGCAGTTTATTTATTAGATTTCTACGCCTTCCGCAATTCCAATACCAAAAATGTTCTTTCCACCTTTGCGGTGCGATCGCGACTAATTCGAAAACCAAATTGGACCCAGTACAAAAGGCAGTAGACAAAGGCAGCAGTCATCAGTCAACACAGTACAAAACCAAATGCAATAACAAAAGCAAAAATATGAAAAAAATGTTGAGTAAAATCACAAGAGCAAGAAAAAATAAAGTAAAAGAAATAAAAATAAAAAATAAAAAAATTTAATAAAGCAGCGAAGCAACAAATGCGTTACTACTCGGTTAATGATGACAGCAACTCGTGTTGGTTATCAGCGCAAAAACAATAGCAGCAACAACAAAGTGAGTGTCAATAAAAAAATAAAAGGGAAAATAAAAATAATAATAAAAGAAAAAAATTAAATACATACTATAATTATCTGTATTTGCTCGTTTTACTTTGCGCCGCTCACCAACTTGCATACATCCGCTCTCTGAAAACACACTCACAATGGCGCGCACTTAGACTACGTAGTACCATGTAGCCCTGTAGGGAAAGCTATTGCCCTGCAGTTAGAAGCCAAGCCAGTCAGCAAAAATACCAGTTCATTAACTAGTATGAGCTAAAGCAATGCCCTAACAGTTCGACAATTTCGAACAAATTATGCGATCAGTGACATCTGCTGTTTAATTGTCAAAGGCCACCAAAACTAGTATGTACCTATTCCTGCAGGGTAGTTGTGAACTGGAATTGTATTAGTTAGCTTTTCAGCTCCAGGTTAAGCTTAGTATGCAGCTCCTAAGGAAACGGTCAAGAAAAAAAATTGTCATTATATACATATTTGTAATTTTATTATTTTATTTATTTATATTGAATTTATTTGTATTGAAATTATTATCAATAACTTACATTGATTTAATTAAAAAAAATCTTAACCACCTCCAATCGGGCTCGAATGTTCCATCTCAGAACCAAAAGCAACAGTCTTCACGCGAAGCCCCTGCCGTTATTAGTGAAAAAAGCAAATAATTGCATTTTATCTATTTTTGGATATGAAAATTAATATGGAGATGTCGCTTTTGAATAAACCAGTTAATGAACTGGTATTTTTGGCTCATACTTTGGTTTGGCTCATACTTACTTTCAACGCTCAGTGCCGCTTCATTGGGGTGGTGTTTTCTCAGCATTAAATTTCCGTATGCATTACAATGTTTTGAGTGTATTTGTGAGTTGGATGGATTCTACGTGAGTGCACTCGTGAGCATAGCGGCTGCCGAGTTGTTGCCAGCGCCGATTACTAAACAAAAACCAAAAACAAACTCATACTAAAAAAAATAATAATACACATTCAAGAGAACATCACCACCACCAGCATTTCGCGTGTGAACTGTCAGCTGCGTATTCTAATAATTTACATATTCTTACGTTGGCAACTCGAAACGGTATTTGCCTTTAACGTGTACTGCTTGCATTTCCCCCTTTCTGACACTGCTGCTTTTGACTTTACTTACTGTTTGCTTTGCTGTTTCTTTTTTCGCAGTTATGCGCCGTACATTCAGTTTATTGCTCTCTACTTGTTGTTGGACCCCTATACACCCGTTGGGTGTTTTTGTGCTCAATTATGGAACGAGGCAGGGCTGTTTTTTTTTTTTTGTTATACAAATGAGTGAGTACTCATGTACAAAGTACAAAATAATGAAAAGGTAGTAGAAAGTTTGAGGGAGTTAAGGATGGAACATACATACTACATAGCATGTATCCGAATCTAGGGCTTGTGACCTCCATGCAACAACTGATTCCTATGAAAAATGGAAAAAGGCTTCAGATGAGATTCGCACTTTTGACGAACACTACGGAAAACATTTTAGGGACACTGATTTGATGATAAGAGCCTAAAATGTTTGGTCTATCCTTATTAGAGCATAGACAGTATGCCACCATTCAAAACATGCTATGGACAGGTAAGTTTTTACTACAGTTCCCACATACCGAGCGTCCTTCACTCAGGTTAGCTAGCGCCTTATGGGTATTGGCTTCGTCCGAATTTTATGGAAAAGTGGACGAAAAGGGGATGTTTGGCCCAAAAGTTGGAAAGTAAACAGGAATCCTGGCAACTGTCTTTCAACTCACCACAATCTTTGGAAAAAAAGTCTTTCTTAAGACAATTGCCAACTCTGGCAACTATCTTGAAAGATCTTTTCTGTCTATCGAAAACCTAGTTGAAAGATATGCTAACGAGGAGGACTTAGCGTTATTCTCTTTGTCGTTTAGCAACAAGTTTTCTAAAAATTGAATTAAATTTAAAAAATTTTTAAATCTAAAAACCAAAAGAAGGTAAAATAAAAAAAATTATATAATTTTCTGGAAAATAAGTGAAATTAAAAAAAAAAGAATTTTTCTTTTTAAATCTAAAAGTTAAAAGAAAATTAAGTTAAAAAAGGAAAAAAATTTAAAAAATAAGTTGCTAAATACGTAGTTACATGAAACTACAAAAAAAATTATTTTTTAAGCAATAGAACCTAAAAAAGAAAAAAAAAATTAATTAAAAAAGAGAGAAAAAATAAATTTAAAAGAAGAAAAAAGTATAAGCTTCTAATAATAAAAATGGTTGAATATAAGCTTCTAATCACAAAATAAAATTGAAAAAAAATAAAAATTTTAAAGCAATAAACTAACAATTAACAGAAAATTAAATTTAAAAAATATTGATTAATTTAAAAGAGGAAGGTATAAGTTCCAAAAATTAATTTAAATTTAAATTTAAAAAATGTTTTTCTTTTTAAACCAAAAATCTAAAACTCAAAACAAAATTAAATTAAAAATAAATGGGTTGTAAAAAGAAAAAAATCCGCTGCCTGGGGACTCGGATCCGGAACTCACGAATGCAACGTCGGCTTCCAACGATTCTTATTCTCGTTGCGGCTTTTCAAGATGGCTATCAAATCTACACAATCTATACAGACTTTTTAAAGGCATTCAATAAAGTTCGCATAAAATTCTATTAAACAAATTATCTCGCGTAAATTGCCTCGTGTATGTACATTAGGCTGCATCACTCTCCATACAAAAAAAAAATAAATTAAATAAAATCAGTACCGTTTTTTCAACGGAATTGTAAAAAATTTTATATTTAAAGACTTTCGCCGAAATATTTAAGAAAAATATTAAGATTTACGTGAGCTGGACCCATTTGAAAATATCTCCAAAAATCTAGTTTGTTATAAATAAATTTAGTTTTTTAAGATAATTTTTCCAAAAAATTACCTCAATCATAGAAGAGTTTAAGCTTGAAATGTCTGCATACCATTTTTTTTTTAATTTATCAACGGAATCAAAATCACGATATTTTTTTAGACAGATTCACGTAAATCTCAATATTTGGCGGAAGTTTTAAACTTCATGATTCCGGTGGAAAATCGCAATTTTTTTTGGTGATGCACCCTAATGCACATATGTATATAATACTAGGGTACTTTGATTAAGAATATTAATTGATAGAAGACGAAAGCTATACATATAATATATACATATGTAAGCACGGATAGTTTGCTAACGCGTGCTCGCTTGATATTTTCTTTTCATTAATAAGAAAAATTGCATTTTCTTTAAATGCGAAACTAAAAAGAAATGAAGAAAGTTGCTAAAATGTAATTTTTTTACAATAATTACTCATGGTCTGATTAATCAGAATCTGATTAATCATTTTTTTTTTTAATTAATCAGGATTATGATCGCAAATTCCTAAATCTTTTCCTAAAATTTAGATACGTGATTTATAAGTTGGAGATTTGTATGTAGAAATAAAATAAAAATGTTCATCTCTGGAACAGTTTATGTTTATGCATTGTAATTTAGACCGAGGCACATAGGCGAAAAGCGGCAGGTATTCGTAGCAATTTTATTCAAACATACATAGGCCGAATTGTCGACTACCGGCGATATGATTTAGTAAATAAAATAACGGAAGCTGAGTTAAAATTCAGTGGTTGATTAATTTTACACGTGAAAAATGATATTGTAGGATTTGCGTGTCGCTTTCAATTGACGTAAACTACTTTTCTGCAACTATGTTTAATTAAGTTTAATCAATACGCCACATTGATTCGAAAAGATTTGGTTTAGAGTAAATACTGAAAATTATTTAAGCGCCACAGAAAAAAATTAGTAATAGTAAACACAAAATTCACAAAAACGAAACAAAAGTAAAAACCATGACTTATTCATTATATTTGGGTATTTGTTTTAGAATATACATATGTATGTATGTAGGTAAACATATGTACACACGTACATACATTAAGCAGGGTCGTCAAATGTTTCACTCAAATTCTTAAGAACAACTTTTGACCAAAATCGGAGTATCGCAACCTAAGCTAGCAGTTGTTTGAACACTGTGGGTCGTCGTTTTATGCAACTGAGAATAAAAGATAAAAAATCAAAACAAAAAAATTTTAATATACTCTTATGGACAGCTGATTAAGTTAAGTGACATTTTGACCAGTCTTGGCTATGTTTTTCTTTTGTTTATTTAATGTAAATGATTTTTTCAAAAAAGTCTAGCACATTACATAAGGCTTCTTCTTCTTCTTCTTCTTCTTCCTCTTCTTCTTCATCTTCTTCACACATTACATAAGTCGCACCACATAAATTCACATTTCAAACTTCGTACAAAAATCACAAAAATTCAACAATTACACCCAAAAATTTTAAACTTAAAAGAAATTGTCGAGCATACTTTATATGGAAAAGATGCCTAGCACCGTCAACCAAAAAAATTTATAAAAATCAACGCGAGTTTCTTTGCAATTTAGCCTACTAAAATTGAAGGGGCTATAAAACGGCATACCTAGGATTTTCCTAAAAATTCTGATTAAAAATTTTGAAATTTTTGGGTGTAATTGTTAAAGTTTGTTGAATTTTTATATTTTTTTTTACGAAGTTGGAAATTTGGATTCATGTGTTGCTGGTTTTGTAAACATTAAATAAACAAAAGAAAAACAGCCACAGTTGGTCAAAATGTCACTTAACCTATTTAGCTGACCACAAGTGTACCACGTTTATAAGAAGCAAAAATAGAGCAAATAATTTTTACCAAGACCCA